ACCCCCACAAAAGAAAAAAAAAAAAAAAAAAAAAAAAAAAAAAAAAAAAAAACCCTGCGTTTCCCAGTTTCCCTTACAGATGGGGCCATGTGATGAAGATTGGGGTCATGTGGAACTTCTGAGAGGACACTTAAAAGAGACCGACTCTATCTGTGTGCTTATTTGCTCTCTCCATGTCCCAGTGCCTCGGAACTGTAATCTGGATGTGCTGCTGGCACTCTAGGGCCATCTTGGGTTGTAAGGTAACTTTGAGGACAAACGATGTGCTGGGGTGATGGAGCAGTGATATAGAAAGAACCTGAATCTTTGGGACCAGCAGTTAGCATAATGGTTTTGTTACTGGACTCCCATGTAGTCGACTATGGTTTGAGTCCCGGACCCGGTGGCTTAAACTCACGCCGGGCGTGTGTGCGTGCGTGCCAAGATCCTGAGAGGAGAATGGAGGAGAAAGGATTGCGGCGTGGCCATCCCCCCTGGGCGGTGATTTCTCTCTTTCTGTCTCTATGTCTCTCTCTCTCTGTCTGGTGAGCGCACGCGCCCTATAGTGAAAAACCTCTCCAAAAAAAAAAAATAAATAAATAAAAGCTGAATCTTTAAAATTAAAAAACAAAAATGGGACCAGCAGTTAGTGTAATGGCTATATCGCTGGACTCCCATGTAGTCAACTGTGATTTGAGTCCCAGACCCGGTGGCTTAAACTCACTCCGGGTGCATGTGTGTGCGTGCCCAAGATCCCGAGAGGAGAAAGGAGGAGAAGGGATTGTGGCATGGCCATCCCCCCTGGGGGGTGATTTCTCGCTTCCTGTCTCTCTGTCCCTCTCTGTCTTTCTGGTGAGCGCACGCGCCCTATAGTGAAAATCTCTCCAAAAAAAGAAAGAAAGAAAAAGTAAGAAATCACAGAGATTCTCAATATCCTTCCCCCAGTCCCTCCTCGCCCCAGTGGTAACATCTTGTAAAACTATAGTACAACATCACAAACAGGACCTTGACTTTGCTAAGGTTAGGGAACACCCACAGTCCCTCATTTATCATCACCCCTGTCTCCCCACCTTCTTCCACCTCTGGAACCACTAATCTAGATCTTGATGAAGGCAGAGCCTCATCCCAGCCTTGGGCTACTCACCCGTGGACGAACTTTGATGGATTGACTAATCGAAAGAGAGACATAAATGTGTATACTAACAAAGCCTTATCATTTAAGAAAAAAAATAATGTCATATGGCCAAGTCTAACCCTTAGCTGAGACAGAAGTCCAGAAAAGGAAGCCGAAAGATCATTATTACATTTAGTGAAAAATAAAGTCTTATGAAGGTGGTTGAAAAGAAAGGAAATCTCAGCTAAATCAAGAAAGGATTAGAAGCTTTTTTTTTTTTTTTTAAATGTAGATCATTCAGTTTCCCTTCCTCCTAGCAGTGACTCTGACTTTTATGAGGTGTTCTGGAATGTTTTTATTCCTTATCTTATTTGAGTATTATTAATAATTCATCTTATAATATTCTGGCCACTGTAGATCATTAGTTTATAAGGATTTACTGCATCCTAAAGTCTGCATTTATGATTTCTTCAGGTGACAGCATTTCCTTGGGGATTTCAGTTCTGATTCTCAGAAAGCGATTAGTGGGAAAAATGGAATTTGATGTTCAGAATGTTCTGGAAACTTGACTGGAGTATGGCAGGCCTCCTAGGATTACGGGAGAGTTCTCAGCCAGTCTGCTCACACTGCCTTTCCCTTTCCAGGAGCTGGAGTCAGAGAGGATGTGTTTCTCATTTGGAGAGAGATGGAGGAAGCCTGCAGCACACTGGCTCAGATCCAGAGGCTGGTGGACGAGCCCCCCACATCCGACGAGGCCTCAGTAGATTGCGGTTGGTGCTATTTATGGCCACGAGTGTGAAAGAGTTACTAGTTGGGGATAGAGGGGCTGTTTCCATGTCCTAGCTAAGGAGCGCTCCTTATCCCAGCTGTGAGGAGCTGAAGGGCATCTTCCAGAGCTATACTATGGTATGTGTGTGTGCACATGTGCATATTCATGCGTACATGTGTGTAGATTTTTAAAGAAGGACCAGAGGGAGGCAGTAGATAAAGCAGTGAAAACAGACTTTTCAGGAACTACTTCCGAAAGCAGACGTCAGTGTGGAATCAGTTCAGTTCTACACACAACACGGACAAGTGGGAATTTGTAGCCAAGGAGTTGGGCGTCGTGGGGTGGGGGAGTCAGAGAGTGGGAAATTACTAAGGGCAGATAGGAGAGCAAGGGCGATTCTGGCACAACCAACATGACCGGATTTTGGCAGAAGACAGGTTAGGGTGAACACTCATCACCTGGTGCTTGGTGGGAATGAAGGACTCGGTCAGATATCAAGGTGGTTAGTATCAAGAGTGGGGGGTTCTCGCTAAACTGACTTAACAGGCTTTTTGCTAACTTGTGGTGAGGAACAGAGGCTCACTTGGAGAAATTCTGAGGCTGAGGCCTAACTGAAATGCGATTCAGAGGAGCCCAGCTAAAATTTGCCCAAGAGAGACTCCTTGTCAAGATTCACATGCTTGGGACCAGCAGATGGCATAATGGTTACATCTCTGGACTCTGACGTGGTTGACTGCAGTTCGAGTCCCAGGCCTGGTAGCTTAAAACTCATGCTAGGCACACATGCATGTATGCCTAAGATCCTGAGAGAGACAGGAGGAGAAGGGATTGCAGTGTAGCTATCCCCCCAGGAGGTGACTTCTCACTTTCTGCCTCTCTGGTGAGTGTACGTGCCCTATAGCAAAAATTTCTCTCTAAGAAGAAGAAGAAGAAAAAAAAAAAGATTGAGTGCTCTCATGGGTTGAAAAAGCAGGGGACCGAGGTGAATGGGTCATCAGAACTCAGCTCCTGCCTGCAGACTACATCAGATCCCAGCTGTGGCAGGCAGCCGCCCACCTCACAGATAGGTTGAAGAAAGGCTGACTTCATGTTTTTTTAGGCCACCACTTTTCTTTGAGCAGGGTCTGGGACCTTGGTGCAGAAGGCGGATGCAGACTG